AAAAAAAAAAAAAAAAAAAAGAATAATCCTGATTTATCTAATGCTTACTATGTACAGGCACTGTGATAATGGTACTTTCATTATGACAAATTTACAGACAGTAAACTGAAGTTTTAGAACTTTCTCAAGGTTCAAGGACACAAAACTAATGACCTGCAAATCCAGGCTTCAAATCTAGAGTTTCTGGTGCCCTTAAAAGTATTATGTATGTATGTATGTATTGATTTTTTTTAAAAAAGATGGGGTTTCACCGTGTTGGTCAGGCTGGTCTTGAACTCCCGACCTCAGGTGATCCCCCAGCGTTGGCCTCCAAAGTGCTTGGATTACAGGCATGAGCCACCACGCCTGGCCGTATTTATTTATTTTTTGAGAGGGAGTCTTATTCTGTGACCCAGCCGCCTGAGTAGCTGGGATTAAAGGTGTATGCCACCATGCCCAGTTAATTTTTATATTTTTAGTAGATATGGGGTTTCACCATGTTGCTCAAGCTGGTCTCGAGCTCCTGACCTCATGATCCATTCGCCTCAGCCTCCCAAAGTGCTAGGATTACAGATGTAAGCCACTGCACCTGGCCCCTTAAATGTATTATACTGCATCCCATACAGGACATATACCAGACATTTCTGGTGTAAACATTCTGTAACGTACTGAAAAACAAACAGGCTAAGGTACAGACTGAGTACTGTACTTAGAAATTATAATGCTGAATTATTAGACTAATGTTTCATAGGCTGATATGTGTTTCTGTTTTAAAATGATTTGCACAAAAGTTTCTCATTTTAGCCCGAAATTAATTACTAATGATTGAAATGTAGAAAGTTCCTAAACAACAGAACAAAAAAATTTAAACATACTCACAATCTCTCCATAACGTGTAGTTGAAATTCTACGTAAAGGAAAACTCCCTGTGCTGCTGAAACATAATCCTCCTGTCTTCATAAATAAATGAGGGGAAAAAATAGAAGGTTATGAAAAGGCATAAGCAACTGAAATAAAAATATATATACTTCATCAATTTGCTTAGCCTTACTAAAATGTTAGGTTCTGAACATGCACAGGACCTGCTGGTATTGACAAACGTTGGCTCACATCGGATGCACCTGTTCAATATAACAAAAATAATTTTTAAAATGTGAATAAATTATACTAAACCTAATTTAATAGAAAAGCTGTCTTTCTAAACAATGGATTAGATTCATTCAGTAAGCAATTACATAAATATGTCAAACAAATTTAAAATAACACTGATTTGAATAGTTTTAGACCATTCTGTGTTACAAAGCAAAGTATAAAGTAAATAAAACTCATCAATAATAGAAGAGTTTTAACTACATGGACTGTACAGAATGAATAATTCTGAATATCAAAGATAATTATATCACTCAACTAACAAAAGAGACCAATATCAAAATGCACATTGTGGAAGAAAAAAAAAAGAGACCAACAAACTCACATAAATAAACCCAATCAATTTTTACAATTAGTTATATCAAATATACTTTCCTTATTTTATGTGCCACAAAGTAAAAAGGTAGCATAAGTTAAAGAGAAATGTATATATAGCTCCTAGCAAACCTACAACCAAGACTTTTAAATAACTTCTATTTATCATCTTTGTTTACTTTAGGAAAATACTTCATATCTTTCATTAATGAATGACGTAGAGTAGAGAGAGGGAGGGTACCGGACTAGTGAGGACAGTGATGAGTCAATATATGGGTGTTCATCACTTGCAAGATAGAGCAGGTAGGAGTGGGGCTGGCACATGGCATAAAACAGACTAGGCTTGGGGAAATATTAGAGGGGCAAACTTGGGGATCAGCCCAGTAATCAGTATTTTGGATGCTGTAACTCAGGTCAGCCTTAAAGAAAAGATAAAAGCTGCTCAAATATTTTCTGTATTAAACCTGGAAACTAAAGAAAAAACTGTGCCTCAAGGGAAGTCATGATGTAGGCCTCTAAAAAAATTAAAGAAGGCGGGGTGCAGTGGCCCACGCCTGTAATCCCAGCACTTTGGGAGGCAAAGGCAGGTAGATCACGAGGTCAGGAGTTCGAGACCAGCCTGGCCAATAAGGTGAAACCCCATCGTTACTAAAAATACAAAAATTAGCTGGGCATGGTGGCGTGTGCCTGTAGTCCCAGCTACTGAGGAGGCTGAGGCAGAAGAATATCTTGAGCCCAGGAGGCCAAGGTTGCAGTGAGCTGAGATTGCACCGCTGTACTCCAGCCTGGGTGACAGAGCGAGACTCCATCTCACAAAAAAAAATTAAAGAAGCTGAAATTGGTGTAACATGCTTAAGTTAGAGGGACACAGAGGTGTGTGTGTGTGTGTGTGTGTGTGTGCGCGCGCGCGCGCGCGCACATGTACGCCTATGGTTCACAAACACATGCACAAAGGGGGAACAGGAAGTAACAGAAAATGAGACTAAAAATCAGGGTACCTGGGTTATGATTACTATACAATTTTTTTTCTATGTAACATTATAATACATAAGGGCTTTAGCACAGTACTTAGCATATAATTATATTATAGATTATGGACAAATTACATAGTAACAAAAAAAATAGCTACCCTTTACAGAGTGGTTACTACGTAGCACTACACTAAGAACTGTACTTATTTGTTTCTGAGCCATCATAGCCTATGAGGTGGGTAATATATTACCATTCCAAAGACAAGGGATTGTGAAGTAGTGAGCCATCCGAGGTCAAATAACTAATAGACTGGACCAAAATTTGAACCCTATTCTGCCTCATGCTCTGGGCCTCAGCTTCCGTAACTGTTAATGTCTACTTCTATCCTTCCTTGGATTATTGTGAGAAGCAAGTGATATGAGAGAAAAATACTCTTAAAAGTATAGATGATACATTAATATGATATTAATGAAGTCAGCTCCCATCACACTGCATACCTGTCTTGTAAAGCATTTGCTACCGTAAAAGAGCTTTCATTTCCATCACAGAGCTCACAAGTTGCTTGAGACAACAATGTTCCATTAACGTCTCTTTCCACTAAACAGTTTAGAAACAAAATAAAGATGTAACTCATAGTAAACATACAAGCTTCTATATATTTAGAAAATATTTAACAAAACCCAACTGTAACAATTATTCTAATAATTCTCAAAACACTTTATTTGCATTAAAGGCATAACAAGTATCTCCATAATTAAGTATAGAAAAGTAATGCCTTCGTACCCTGTCCATGCCTTCAAAAAAAGAGAAGTGATGCCTTCCCTATTCTCACATAGTAAAATATAAAGAATAATTTTCCAAGTCATCATAAAAATTAAGTTTTTTTTTTCCCTCAAAAATTTTCTTACCTCTTATCTATACATTCCTGTCACACTGGGATGCGGAAGTAAGTATTTTCATAGGTTACTAATAAGTTTCTGCAACTTAGAAGGCTTTTAGTAGTGTCTATTAAAGCTTTAAATTCACATCCTTACAACAGTACAATTTTGTATTTACATACTTAACCTACAGAAACACTTGAACATGTATATAAGGATATTCACTGAAGCATTATTTGTTAGAAACAACATGAATATTTAAAATACCAGAATGGTGGTATATCCATGCTACAAAATACTATGGAATAGATTTTTTTAAATCAGGTGGCTGGCTGCGGTGGCTGAACGCCTGTAATTCCAGCACTTTGGGAGGCTGAGGTGGGAAGATCACAAGACCAGCCTGCTGTGAAACCATCTCTACTAAAAATACAAAAATTGAGGCCGGACGCGGTGGCTCACACCTGTAATCCCAGTACTTTGGGAGGCCGAGGCGGGTGGATCACGAGGTCAAGAGATCGAGACTATCCTGGTCAACATGGTGAAACCCTGTCTCT